TGTGTGTGTGTCTGTGTATGTGGGTGTGTGTCTCTGTATGTGGGTGTGTGTGTGTCTGTGTATGTGGGTGTGTGTGTGTGTCTGTGTATGTGGGTGTGTGTCTCTGTATGTGGGTGTGTGTGTGTGTCTGTGTATGTGGGTGTGTATCTCTGTGTATGTGTGTGTGCGTGTGTGTGTCTCTGTGTATGTGTGTGTGTGTATCTGTGTATGTGTGTGTGATTGTGTGTGTCTCTGTGTATGTGTGTGTGTGTGTCTGTGGGTGTGTAGCTCTGTGTATGTGTGTGTGATTGTGTTTATCTCTGTGTATGTGTGTGTGTGTGTGTGTGTGTCTCTGTGTATGTGGGTGTGTGTATCTCTGTGTGTGTGTGTGTGTGTCTCTGTGTGTGTGCGTGTCTCTGTGTATGTGTGTGTGTGTGTATGTGGGTGTGTATCTCTGTGTATGTGTGTGTGCGTGTGTGTGTGTCTCTGTGTATGTGTGTGTGTGTATCTTTGTATGTGTGTGTGATTGTGTTTATCTCTGTGTATGTGTGTGTGCGTGTCTCTGTGTATGTATGTGTGTGTATCTCTGTGTATGTGTGTGTGTGTCTGTGTATGTGGGTGTGTGTATCTCTGTGTGGGTGTGTGTGTGTGTATCTGTGTGTGTGTGTGTCTGTGTATGTGGGTGTGTGTATCTCTGTGTGGGTGTGTGTGTGTTTATCTCTGTGTGTGTGTATGTCCGTGCGGTAATTGGTGGTATGGTGTAAGTTTACCAAGAGGCAGAATAACAATGACAACAACAAAAACGAAGAAAATAACAGCAATAGCGACGATGATGATGATGATGATGATGAACAATGCTAGCGTCTTTAGCATTAGCATTAGCATTATTATTGGAATTAGCATTAGCATTAGCATTATTATTGGCATTAGCATTAGCATTATTATTGGCACTCTTCCCACAACATTCCTCCATAGTTTGTCTGTGATTGTGGTGCATTAAAGAGGCATATGTCTGAGATACATGTTTGAAGAGAACCATGTTTTATTTTGTTTACTCATTTAAAGTGTTCGGGTGTATTTTATTTCCCACAGACACATTTCTCTCGTGGATATTCCGACCACAGCAACTTATTCTCCATTTTATTTTTGATTATGTAAAATATGTAATGCACAAATAATTCCAGGTGAAAGACTTTTCGTTTTGACCGTGCTACAACTGAAGAATTGTACCTTTTTAACGCAACATGTTATTTATTATTGTGATCATTTGTGTGATTTTAATGTTGTTACAGTGCCTTGCGAAAGTATTCGGCCCCCTTGAACCTTTCAACATTTTGCCCCATTTCAGGCTTCAAACATAAAGATATAAAAATTATTTTTTTTGTCAAGAATCAACAACAAGTGGGACACAATCGTGAAGTGGAACGAAATTTATTGGATAATTTAAACTTTTTTAACAAATAAAAAACGGAAAAGTGGGGCGTGCAATATTATTCGGCCCCTTGCGCTAATACTTTGTAGCGCCACCTTTTGCTGCAATTACAGCTGCAAGTCGCTTGGGGTATGTCTATCAGTTTTGCACATCAAGAGACTGGAATTCTTGCCCATTCTTCCTTGCAAAACAGCTGGAGCTCAGTGAGGTTGGATGGAGAGCGTTTGTGAACAGCAGTCTTCAGCTCTTTCCACAGATTCTCGATTGGATTCAGGTCTGGACTTTGACTTGGCCATTCTAACACCTGGATACGTCTATTTGTGAACCATTCCATTGTAGATTTGGCTTTATGTTTTGGATCATTGTCCTGTTGGAAGATAAATCTCCGTCCCAGTCTCAGGTCTTTTGCAGACTCCAACAGGTTTTCTTCCAGAATGGTCCTGTATTTGGCTCCATCCATCTTCCCATCAATTTTAGCCATCTTCCCTGTCCCTGCTGAAGAAAAGCAGGCCCAAAGCATGATGCTGCCACCACCATGTTTGACATGGTGGTGGTCAAACATGCTTGAAGCCTGAAATGTGGCGAAATGTTGAAAGGTTCAAGGGGGCCGAATACTTTCGCAAGGCACTGACCTGTGATTATAATGTTTTTAATTACCTGTGTGATTTTAATTGTATTTTTAATGGAGATTTAGACTTTGTTTATGTGATGATGTGTACCTGTGAGGCGCTTTGTGTTGCCCTCTGTCGGAAAAGCGCTCTATAAATAAAGATTGATTGAATAACTCAGTAGCTGTGATCTTCGGCGGTTTCTCAAAGGTAAAAACGTGGCTTATTGTATGTAGTAATCAGAGCAAAGGCTTGAATAACCTTGTCTCCAGTGACTCCCTGTGGGCCTGCGGTGTTTCCTCACAATGAAAAGTCGTGCGGGGGTCTCACACTGAGGACCACGTACCACAGCGGCCGCAGAGTCCGGACACTTTCTCTTTTATTTGATCCATTACTGCCACAGCACGTGCTCTCAGGAGCGGATTGCAGCCCACAGACCAGAACGAGCCCGAGGGGAAGGGAGTAAAGGGGCTCGAGACCCGACAAGACTGAATGTGTAAGGGCAGGACTTGATCTAAGGGCGACCGTGGCTGAGTGGGTATAGTCTATTGGCCTGAAGGTTGTGGGTTTGAGTCCACCAAGAGATCTCCTTCACGACTCCCACTGATGTCTGCTGCTGTTGTGTCCTTGGGCAAGACACTTACCCCACTTTGCCTGAAGCCCCCGCTGAAAGATCAAGGCAGCTCAGACTAGAGCAGCCTCCTGTGGACTCAGCACCTGCAGAGGATCAGAGAGGACCAGGAGGAGCAGTGAGGACCATGAGCAGCAGGAGGAGCAGTGAGGATCAGGAGGATCAGTGAGGACCAGGATTAGTGAGGACCAGAAGGAGCAGGAGGGTCATTGAGGACCAGGAGGATCAGTGAGGACCAGGAGGATCAGTGAGGAGCAGGAGGATCAGTGAGGACCAAGAGGATCAGTGAGGACCAAGAGAAGCAGGAGGATCAGTGAGGACCAAGAGGAGCAGGAGGATCAGTGAGGACCAAGAGGAGCAGGAGGATCAGTGAGGACCAAGAGGAGCAGGAGGGTCATTGAGGACCAGGAGGATCAGTGAGGACCAGGAGGATCAGTGAGGAGCAGGAGGATCAGTGAGGACCAAGAGGATCAGTGAGGACCAAGAGAAGCAGGAGGATCAGTGAGGACCAAGAGGAGCAGGAGGATCAGTGAGGACCAAGAGGAGCAGGAGGATCAGTGAGGACCAAGAGGAGCAGGAGGATCAGTGAGGACCAAGAGGATCAGTGAGGACCAAGAGGAGCAGGAGGATCAGTGAGGACCAAGAGGAGCAGGAGGATCAGTGAGGACCAAGAGGAGCAGGAGGATCAGTGAGGACCAAGAGAAGCAGGAGGATCAGTGAGGACCAAGAGGAGCAGGAGGATCAGTGAGGACCAAGAGGAGCAGGAGGATCAGTGAGGACCAAGAGGAGCAGGAGGATCAGTGAGGACCAGGAGGAGCAGGAGGATCAGTGAGGACCAGGAGGAGCAGGAGGATCAGTGAGGACCAAGAGGATCAGTGAGGACCAGGAGAAGCAGGAGGATCAGTGAGGACCAGGAGAAGCAGGAGGATCAGTGAGGACCAGGAGAAGCAGGAGGATCAGTGAGGAGCAGGAGGATCAGGGAGGACCAGGAGGGGCTGGTGCTATGACTGCACCCTCTGGCCCAGGAACGGATTACGGAACAAAATGTTTGAATGGAGTTGATGAGTTCTAAATATAATGACGGGTAAAAAACTATACTTACTTAATACTTACTTAATACTTACTTATTTCTTACTTACAAATGTATAAAAGTCATGTTGAGTGAAGCTGAAGGATGTTCAATTCAATGTTATATATTTATACTTCTATGTTCTGTGTAACATGTATTTATTTTGGTGCCTTTGTTATGTACTTATATCTACAATGTTCTTACAGTATCTTGTTTTGATAAAGTGTTGTAACTTGTCACGTTCAAAATTAAAATAAATGAAATAAACAACGATATTTTATTAATAATAATAATGCATCGGTTTTATACAGCGCTTTTTTGGACACTCAAAGACGCTTCACATCTGTCATTATTCATTCACTCCATACACGGTGGTGATAAACTACTAATGTAGCCACAGCTGCCCTGGGGCACACTGACAGAAGCGAGGCAACCAGTCTGTGCCATCGGCCCCTCCGACCACCACCAACCATTCACACACACACACGACTCATTCTAGGCAATGGGGGTGAAGTGTCTTGCCTAAGGACACAACGGCAGTTTGGCACTTTACAGCCGCAGCCGCCCCACTGTGGCTGGTGTTCCCAGAGGTTAAGTGTCTTGCCCAAGGACACAACGACAGTAGTCAGTGGGAGTCGATGGTGAATGTCTTGAGCGGGGCTTGAACCCACGACCTTCTGGCTCAAAGGCCAACGCTCTACCAACTGAGCTACTGCCGCCCCTATTTTCACTTATTAGATAGTTTGCCACCACTGAGATTCATTTCAAACAAACACATTCGTTGAGAAGATTACCACCAGAAGAGCATTAATTACTGACGAGGTGTTAGCACTAGCTTGGCGGGCTATTGTTCAGGCTGATTGCGTGTCAGGGCTGTTTCTCTGTGGATGGATGAACTCTGCGACAGGGAAAACTACAAATCATTTACCAACAACAAGTTTAAGATAATATAGATTTACTTTACACGTACCACAGTGGGGAAATTTCAGTGTTGCATCGCACAGACAGGACAGTAGAAAGAGACACAGGGAGCACACACGATATACATAATAAGTAGCGGCTGTGTTTTCTTTTCTTCTAGCTGTAAACGCATCAATTATAGATTACATTGTATGCATACATTTTGTTCAAAACCTGCAGGAAAACAAAAATACAAAGTCTGCTTGGTTTGAAAGAGGGATGATGGAAAGTTATATATTTAACTCATGGGGGATGGCTTCTTTAAAATCACCTTTCCACAACACAACGCAAACACACACACAGGCCTAATACTCACAAAGCCTAATCATAACAGATTAGGTTCTCTGTCAGGTTCTCTGTCAGGTTCTCGGTCGGGTTCTCGGTCAGGTTCTCGGTCAGGTTCTCGGTCAGGTTCTCGGTCAGGTTCTCTGTCAGGTTCTCTGTCAGGTTCTCGGTCAGGTTCTCGGTCAGGTTCTCGGTCAGGTTCTCGGTCAGGTTCTCGGTCAGGTTCTCGGTCAGGTTCTCGGTCAGGTTCTCGGTCAGGTTCTCGGTCAGGTTCTCGGTCAGGTTCTCGGTCAGGTTCTCGGTCAGGTTCTCTGTCAGGTTCTCTGTCAGGTTCTCTGTCAGGTTCTCAGTCAGGTTCTCTGTCAGGTTCTCTGTCAGGTTCTCGGTCAGGTTCTCGGTCAGGTTCTCGGTCAGGTTCTCGGTCAGGTTCTCGGTCAGGTTCTCGGTCAGGTTCTCTGTCAGGTTCTCTGTCAGGTTCTCTGTCAGGTTCTCTGTCAGGTTCTCTGTAGGTTCTCGGTCAGGTTCTCTGTCAGGTTCTCTGTCAGGTTCTCGGTCAGGTTCTCGGTCAGGTTCTCTGTCAGGTTCTCTGTCAGGTTCTCGGTCAGGTTCTCGGTCAGGTTCTCTGTCAGGTTCTCGGTCAGGTTCTCTGTCAGGTTCTCGGTCAGGTTCTCGGTCAGGTTCTCGGTCAGGTTCTCGGTCAGGTTCTCGGTCAAGTTCTCTGTCAGGTTCTCGGTCAGGTTCTCGGTCAGGTTCTCGGTCAGGTTCTCGGTCAGGTTCTCGGTCAGGTTCTCTGTCAGGTTCTCTGTCAGGTTCTCTGTAGGTTCTCTGTCAGGTTCTCTGTCAGGTTCTCTGTCAGCTGAGGTCGAGCAGTTTTAATTCACATTGAGTTCTATGGGACTTTTTTCTGTGTAGCCCTTGTGAATTTAGTCTGCAGTACAGTGCCCCCTGTGGCCGTGGGTGGAACAGCTTTAAACCAGGAATACTCTATCCAGTTATTATTATAGATCCATGGAGCCGCCACAGGAATCAGACAAGTGCGTTGCAATCTGGAAATTCCTCAGACGCCCTGTCTCTGTGGGACACTGGTGCAACAGATCATTCTTGTTTTAGTTCCAACACAATATTGAAGTTCATATTCTCATGTATTTATTCTGAGCGGGAATGAGAAAGTCGACCTGAGCTTTTGTGTAAACAGTGAGATCCTGATTCACTGAAGAATTTCATCTCAAATCCACGAATGACTCATCACTTTCCTCTGACAAAGGAAACACTGAGACTCTGTGCAGATGTGTTTGTGTCAGAAACAATCAGAAACAAATGTGATTATTTCCACAAAACTCGCTTTCACAACAAGATATACAGTGCCTTGCGAAAGTATTCGGCCCCCTTGAACCTTTCGCCACATTTCAGGCTTCAAACATAAAGTTATAAAATTTACATTTTTTGTCATGAGTAAGTAGTAGTAATCTTTATTTATATACCGCCTTTTCACTGCACATCGGGGTCTCAAAGCGGTTCACAATTGTGATTTTTGGGAGTGGGGCCAGTACAGGAGGCACATGCCAGACCTATTGTACATATTTTTAGTGGTAGGGGAAACCGGAGCACCCGGAGGAAACCTACGCAGACACGGGGAGAACATGCAAACTCAGAAAGGCCCTGGTCCAACCGGGATTCGAACCCAGGACCTTCTTGCTGAGAGGCGAGAGTGCTATCCACTCAGCCACCGTGCCGCCCATGAATCAACAACAAGTGGGACACAATCGTGAGCCAAGAGGCCCATGATCACTCTGGATGAACTGCAGATAACTACAGCTGAGGTGGGGATGGTGTGTTCAGGGTGATGAGCTGTGTTGCTTTTATGCCAAACATATCGTTTTATGTTTGGCAAAAAGTTTAATTTTGGTTTCATCTGACCAAAGCACCTTCTTCCACATGTTTGGTGTGTCTCCCAGGTGGCTTGTGGCAAACTTTAAACCAGACTTTTTATGGATATTTTTGAGAAATGGCTTTCTTCTTGCCACTCTTCCATAAAGGCCAGATTTGTGCAGTGCACGACTGATTGTTGTCCTATGGACAGACTCTCCCACCTCAGCTGTAGTTATCTGCAGTTCATCCAGAGTGATCATGGGCCTCTTGGCTGCATCTCTGATCAGTCTTCTGCTTGTTTGAGATGAAAGTTTGGAGGGACGGCCGGGTCTTGGTAGATTTGCAGTGGTCTGAAACACCTTCCATTTCAATATAATTGCTTGCACAGTGCTCCTTGAGATGTTTAAAGCTTGGGAAATCTTTTTGTATCCAAATCCGGCTTTAAACTTCTCCACAACAGTATCTCGGACCTGCCTGGTGTGTTCCTTTGTCTTCATGGTTCTCTCTGTGCTTTAAACAGAACCCTGAGACTATCAAAGAGCAGGTGCATTTATACAGAGACTTGATTACACACAGGTGCATTCTATTTATCATCATCAGTCATTTAGGACAACATTGGATCATTCAAAGATCCTCACTGAACTTCTGGACTGAGTTTGCTGCACTGAAAGTAAAGGGGCCGAATAATATTGCACGCCCCACTTTTCAGTTCTTTATTTGTTAAAAAAGTTTAAATTATCCAATAAATTTCGTTCCACTTCACGATTGTGTCCCACTTTTTATATCTTTATGTTTGAAGCCTGAAATGTGGCAAAATGTTGAAAGGTTGAAGGGGGCCGATTACTTTCGCAAGGCACTGTAACATACATGGATTGGTAGAGTTGAAGTTGGCTGGATGACATTGTGAACCGGTGTCTATGGTGGCCGGATAACATGACAACAAGGGCCACATTTGGCTCGCGAGTTTGGACAGGCCTGCTCTAAGTCTACAGAGAAAGTAGAGCCGTTGGTAGATATTTGCAGAGATATATACCGTCCATTCCCACCACAAACTAGCCTGGTCTTACCACACCATAGTACTCATTTCATTTCATACTAAGGTCTGGATTTGCTCCATTGACTCCATTAACAAGTGGGAGGGGCTAACTCCTTTTACAGATTGAAACCATTGGATCTGAGTTTACTGTGACGTATGTAATGAGCCCGAGTGAGTCAGGCTTTAGCATTTAGCCTAGCTTTAGCCATCTCCTTTGCCTCTAACGGAGCCCGTGGGGAGTAGAGCCACAACATTTTCACATCAATAACATTTACTAAACATTCCTCTTGCTCCGGCTTCAGTTTCTTGATATTTGGATTGAACCAGAACAGATTATTTTACTATCACATTCTCCGACAAACTACAACCAGTAAATTCAGACAAACTCTTGACGTCACCGACACCGACCTACAACACCCGCCTCCCCCGCTCTCTGATTGGTCGGAGGGGATTCAACCGATGTAATTGCAGACAAAGGGACTAGACCCAGACGGTAAATGTAGGGAAATGAGTATTGACCGGAGTTTACAGATGGCAAATGCCCGGCTAACCCCAATGCGATGAACCCTGCTCGATTATTTAAATACAAATTCAGATATTTTAGTTATTTTGTGAACAGTATTCACTCAGAAATGGATGAGAAATGTGAGCCCAAGCCGTGAATATTGGCAGAACCCAAGCTGTCTGTTTCAAGAAGATGTCACAGAGAATCCAAGGTGTCACTCGGTGGTAGCATCTGCAGAGCTGCGGGGCCAAAGACTGGAGATTCCAACATGTAGTAAGATGAAGAGGTTCCCGGTGCGGAGCTGACAGGGCGGCCTTTGAGGGGACGATCACATCCGTCATCGTTCACATCTGAAATATTGTTACGCAGCAAACAGGTGGCGAGGATGGAATCAGTGAGAGAGAGACGGCGGCTGAGGGCGGACCACCTGCGGCTGGAGAGGCTGTTTCTACTGATAAGAAACGGTCTCAGACTGAGGTTTTAGATGGAGAGAAAAATACATTCATGCTCAAGGACAGGTTCGTAATTACAATTAGAATCTTATATTGTCTTTAATATTTTGTTTTTGCAGTTATGTATTTATTTTCAAAGCACATTGTTTAGAACATACGTAGATACATGCAGAGACATGCAGGTGTCCAGGAGCAGCAGAAACACATGTACATTTATCCTGTGTGAGATCAGTAAAGTCTATCTTCTCTTATCTTATTCATCCAAACAAACAAACAAAACAAGTAAATAGATAATAATAAAAGTATCTAACAATAGTAATAATAATAATAACAACAATAATATTAAAATCCATCAGTCCTTCAGGTCACAGCAGCAGAGGTGGAGCTTGGTTCAGACCATTTTCTCTGCTCTGGTCCAAAGTCAAATGACAGATGCTTCATTAGCATTTTTCATAAAGTTAGCATTCCTCCGGTGGATTTTCAACTGATCCACTTGGTTCGGACCATGAATCCTCTGTGCTCTGGTCTGGACCAGTGTAAAACCATGAATCCTCTGTGCTCTGGTCTGGACCAGTGTAAAACCATGAATCCTCTCTGCTCTGGTCTGGACCAGTGTAAAACCATGAATCCTCTCTGCTCTGGTCTGGACCAGTGTAAAACCATGAACACTGAACTGAAGCAGATTAAAACACAAAACAACTGTTTCAGAGACACTCGGGACCAGTGGCGGCTGGTGGAATTTTCTACTGGGGGGGCTATGAATATGATGACTAGATATATACCAGCAGTAAGTAAGTTTACACTGACTGTTGTGACTGAAGCCTCACACGAGAATCAACAAGGTCACATGATCAGGCCTTAGGCCAGGATTTGTTGGTAGACACTGCCATCTTGTGGTGCTTTTAAGCATAAAACTATTGTATTTATTTATTTATAACATCACAGTATTTACATTAAAACAACAAAAGTAACAGTACAATTAAATGTACAGTACTACTGTCCTACTTATTTTTTGTACATAAATTTTGCCCTTCTGTCCTTGAGAGTAGCAAATTTCTCAATGACTCTTTGGTTGAAGTCAGGGATGGTTTTAATAAGATTCTTCTCCATCGAGAGCATGGCCAATGCATTGAGACGATCCTGTGACATTGTGTTCCTAAGGAAGGTCTTGATTCTCTTCAGTGTTGAGAAGCACCTCTCAGATTCAGCTGTGGTCATGGGAGTTGTGATGAGGATCTTAAGCAGAGCAACAGTCTCTGAGAAGGTGTCCTGAAGATTGTTCTCCATGAAAAGCTGGTAGAGAGCCACAGCACCACTGCAGCTCTTGAACTCATCATTGCTGTAGATGAGAGACAGTTCAGTTTTCAGCTTGTTCTTGTTCAGCATTGGGTAAGCCTCCACAGTGGTGTTTAGTGCTGCTTCAGGGAACTGGCTGTGGTACTGTTGAAATCTGTCTGCCTGCAGCAGTGTAGCACTGATCAGATGCTTTGTGAAGGCAAATCTCTGCTTTGCATGGACCAAGATGGTGTCACAAACCTATAAAAGGAATGTACCAGTTTAGTACAATGTGGAGATGGCTATCAGTCAGCTTTCTAATACAAGTATTTAGAAAGTTATGTAATAACTATCTATTTATCAATCAATCAATCTGCCTGTTTGTCATGAAGAAATATGTGTTCATTGAATAGTAATAAACACAAATTAACATTGCGCCTTCATTAAAGTGGATTACAGGGCCTATTCAAAGCTTTGTTCCTCCTTTCTCATAATATAGCCCTACTATTAAGCTTCTATCTCACCTCTGTGGATACCTTCTGAAGTTCACCGGGGCCCAGGGTGCGGCGTTTCTTGGCCAGCTGAGATCCACTGCCACTGTGTTCTCCACAGAGAGTGAAGAGGGAGTCTCTGAACAGAGCCAATAAGAGAAAAGTTAATCTTAAATCACCACATAAAATTACAAGGATTATTGAGTGGTTCAAGCATACTAGTGATTAACACAATATCAGTAATATTCATTCTTTAATGCATAGCATATTCTCTACAATGTCTCTATCTAAACGCTGGTTTCCAATATCTGCATGGGTCAGGATGGTATTTTAGCAAATGATCCACTTCACTGGACATTAGTGAGTCATCCAATACACTGACCCTGACTGAAAAGTAGATAATATAGTGTAAAATCTGATAAATTGTAATTATGAAGTTTGCCTCAGTGATAAACAGGACAAGAAAATTATAAAGCTAGATTTTACAGAATTTTTATTATATAACTATGAGAACATATTTTATTCATATTTTCATAGAATAGATAAAGATAGATAATAAAATAAAAGTCTAATAATATTTAAAAATAAAGAAAAGCATCACTTTTCATGTCTGGAGAAGTAAAATATTGAAATGTGGAAAAATGTGGCTCTTTTTTAAATAATTAATGCATCAAGAGGGTTAAACATTGCAACATACACATCAATTTACCTGATCTTTTGTATGCTGTCTGTGAACTTCTGCATGATTCCCTGAACAAAGACAGAATCGATGGTCCTCTTCTGGAGCTGGCTGTAGAGAATATCCACATGTGGCATGATGAGATGGAACAGATTCAGGAAGAAGCTGAAACTATCATCCTCCAGCAGCCTCACAAACCCTCCAGCTTCTCTCACAGTGGTAGGATCAAACTCTCCTGAATCCCTGATGTTTCCAAAACACTGGAGCAGGTCTTCTTTGTGCTCAAAAATAGTGTTCACAGCTCGGATGTGGAAGTTCCACCTCACTGTGCTTGCTCTTGGAAGTCTGTGGGCTACCACTCTATCAAGCACGCTGGTTCTCTTTGGAGATCTTGAGAAAAAGCTAGAGAATCCAGCCAGGTCTGAAAAGAAATGACTCACTTTTGGGATATGGGAAGTCACTTGCTGCATGATAAGGTTTAGTTTATGAGCATAGCAGTGGACATAGTGAGCATTTACATAAACATCTTGGACTTTCTTCTGTACACCTCCTGTGGCTTCTCTCATGACACTTGCACCATCGTATGCTTGGGAAATGAGCTTGCTCTTCTGGTCGTCAGGGAGAATGGAGCTCAACCTATGAAGAAGTGCAGTGGCGATGGAATCAGCTGTGGCACTTTGAAGAGGTATGAACTCAAAAAAACGCTCTTGGACATGATGGGCTTTATCGATGAAGCGAATCACAAGCACAAGCTGACACTGAGTAGAAATATCCATTGTTTCATCAGCTTGAATGGAGACAAAGTCTGCACTCCTGATTTCTCCAATGATGCACTCTCTCATGACTGACAGCATGCAGTCCAGGAGTTCATTCTGTACGGTCTTCGATGTCCCCTTAAACACAGTGGCGGTCTGCAGGTGTTCATGTAGTACTGCATCCAGTGATGCTACAAGATCCACCAATCCTCTGAAAACACCAGGATTTCCTGAGGATTCACTTTCATCATGGCCTCGCAGGGCAAGTTCAAATGCACCACAGAATTTTACACAGTCTATTATTTTTGATAGGATGTGCCTATTCTTGTCAACCTCCTCATTGTGCTTTCTGATCCCTACCCTGTAGCTTTCATCCAGCTGGGATGAAATATTTATCTTCCCAAACATAGCCAATTTGAGGGCATGTTGCATGTGGATACCAGTCTGCTCATGCTTCTTTGCTTTTTCTAAAAAGTGCTTGAGATCACGCATACCTGTCTTGATCCATGCTGGGTCAGATCCTGACGTTTGGAACAAGAGGCATGGAAAGCAAAATAAAGCATTAGCCTCGCTACATGCTGCTAGCCAAGATTTGGCGCTGAACCAGGTCCTGGAAAAAGTACGAGTGTACCGTCTCCCTCTGTCGCTGGACTGCTGACTAATGGTAATATTTGGCTGATCAGGTCCAAGCTCTTTAACCTCAACCTTCTCCTGGTATGATCTTCTCTCAAACGGTATTTTTTTTAGTGATCTAACTGAATTATTATTTTTCTCTCTCTCCATTTTGCGTCTCTTTACGTTCGTCTCAAACTCCCACAGCTTGACCTGTCAATCACTGTAAACGGACGTCACAGACAGTGACAGTACAGGTCGCGGGCGATCCCGCCCCCTCAGGGCGCACTTCTCCTGCGCCCCCAAATCGTCTTATCTCTTGCATTGAAGAGGAGCTACTGCGCATGTACAACTTTTAACGAGAGTCCATAGACGGCTCAGGGCGCAAAAGATTGCGCCCTGAGCCGTCTATGGACTCAGTCCTCAGTCCGACACAGACAACGCTGATGAGCTTAATCAATCCAACTCAGCATAAACTATAAAGTATTTCTTCCACATCTGAAATAAAACACACACATACATTTCGAAATATTTTAATGTTATTATTTTTTTTTAACGTTTTATTCAAGGTAACATGGCAAGTTGTGAGTGGTGGGGCGGCGCCCTAGCGCCCTCTATTGGCCGGCCGCCACTGCTCGAGACTCGCTGCAGTTTCAGAACATTTTAAACACACACACTCGCCTCTCAGCAAGAAGGTCCTGGGTTAGAATTCCGGTCGGAACAGGGCCTTTCTGAGTGGAGTTTGCATGTTCTCCCCGTGTCTGCGTAGGTTTCCTCCAGGTGCTCCGGTTTCCCCTACCACTAAAAACATGCACCATAGGTCTGAATATAAATGAGAAAGTGAGTGGATGGTGTTGGAGCTGATGGTCCAGTGTGTTCTGGACTCGCTTCCGTCATCACCGTGTGTGGAAGGATTGGAACAATATCTGACTCTGAACATTGGAAAGTGCTTTGGGTCTGTACCTTGGTCTGTGAAATGCGCTATATAAATAAACATTACTTACACAAACACACACACACATCGCTCCGACTGCTGCTAATTCAGGTAGATTTGTGAGACTCTTGGTACAAACTCACAAACAACCAGCTCCACATCCGGAGTCAGGTCCCGGAGAAAGGAGCTGTCGACAAGAGCGATGCCTCCTGATGTGTCGCACTTATTGAGCATAAATCTGAGACAAAAACAACAATAAAAAACCTCCACATGGTCCTCACGCTGCTCCATGACGTCCTTTCTGCTGCAGTTTGTGTTTGTGTTGTTCCATTTTCTATTCTTTTCTAATCATATAAAGCTTAAGTAGTGGATGATGGAGTTTGAGCAGCTCTGTTTTTTTTCTCCATGTTTTCCAGCCAGTGGGCCATGGAACCGTACTGTGCCTTTGGAAATGGTCCAATATTCACCAATTTCATCAAAATTAATATCCATCTATTTTCTACCCTTTAATCCATTTCTGGGTCAGGGGGGTGGCAGTCAGAGATGCCACCCAAGTCTCATAGCACCAGCCCCTCACTGACCCTCTGCAGGTGGTGAGTCCACAGGAGGACGGCTGCTCTCTGACTGTGAGCACAGCCTTGATCTTTCAGCGGGGGCTTTGGGCAAAGTGGGGTTAAGTGTCTTGCCCAAGGACACAACGACAGCAGACATCAGTGGGAGTCGGTGGAGAAGGTGTCAAGGTGGGAATTGAACCCATGACCTTCAGGCCTAAAAGCCAATGCTCTACCAACTGAGCTACTGTTGTATAAAAGACAATAATGTGTGAATTAGAAATACTTTTTCTATGCTTGTTTGAGTTCTTTAACATATACTTTGATGATTATGACTCTCAGGGTTGATAACGTCCACGGAAGGTCATGTTTTCAATGGAAAAGATGTGCCACAGCTCAAAAAGGTTGGGGAACACCGGTCTAACTTTAGCCTGGTCTTACCACCCCATAGTACACATTTCATCTTGTACTAAGGTCTGGATTTGCTCCATTGACTCCGTGAACAGGTGGGAGGGGCTAACTCCTTTTGCAGATTGAAACCAATGGGTCTGAGTTTGTAAGTAATGAGCCCGAGTGAGTGAGGCATTTAGCCTAACTTTAGCATTTAGCCTAGCTTTAGCATGTAGCCTAGCTTTAGCCATCTCCTTTGCCGCTAACGGAGCCCTTGGGGAGCCTCCCCCGCTCTCTGATTGGTCGGAGGGGATTCAACCGAGGAAACTGCAGCCACTAGGATCAGACCCAGACGTACATGTAGGAGATGATCATGGACCAGTGTTTACACATGGTAAGACCAGACGTACATGTAGGAGATGATCATGGACCAGTGTTTACACATGGTAAGACCAGACGTACATGTAGGAAATGATCATGGACCAGAGTTTACACATGGTAAGACCAGATGTACATGTAGGAAATGATCACGGACCAGAGTTCACACATGGTAAGACCAGACGTACATGTAGGAAATGATCATGGACCAGAGTTTACACATGGTAAGACCAGACGTACATGTAGGAAATGACCATGGACCAGAGTTTACACATGGTAAGACCAGACGTACATGTAGGAGATGATCATGGACCAGAGTTTACACATGGTAAGACCAGACGTACATGTAGGAAATGACCATGGACCAGAGTTTACACATGGTAAGACCAGGCGTGTCTAACTTGTTAATGTGATATTTTTTGTACGAAGTCAAATACATCAGATTTCATTGAACATTGTAAATCTCATTTGAAAGTGTTTGGTCTGCAGAGCGGATATGGATCTAAGCAGAAGGCACCGGTCCTCTCTGGATTTATGTGACCTTTTCATCATCCAGACCCGGGAGGAGGAGGTAGAGACCGGGAGAATATTCTCTCTGTGATACGTAAAATCAGGGTTGAGGTGATTTTATAAGATCACGGCCTCACAACCTCTGGTGACCGGAGGGCCTGCATGAGCACAGTTGTTAGATATCTGGAACACCCACATAGTGTGGCGTAAGCAATGACACGAATCAGAGAAATGTAACAAAACAAATACTCAACTTTGTGGTTTGTAGAGGAAGGTCTTTATGTACATATAAGATGGACGGGAGTTCAAATTGAAGCGGCACATGCAGTCCGTTCAATCCGAGACTCTCACAAATATTTACAAATGCTGCTTATATAGCTTTGGTCGGCCGGGAGGAGTTAAGAAATGTTCTCCGTAATTTCCTTTTTTGGATACACAGTTCAACTTGCATTGACTTGACCAGTTGGATGATGTATGTTGTCTGTCTTTCACGGTCTGTCTCCATGCTTCTGTGTCAGCATTGCGATCCAATATTTTTGTGAATACCTCTGTGTCTGTATTTAGTTCCTTGACCCAACAGTGAACCAACATGTTCAGAAAAAACATACTTACAATACGGATCCAAAACATTCTCATTTTTATTTAGGGTATTTGATTTCCTTTCAATTAACACCAAAATGCCCAAAAGAGAGAAATATCCACTGTGGGGGAATCAGAGTGGTCTCATGATACTTCTCAATGTCATTTTGTGTTTCAAAAGGACACATCGTAGCATTGTATGATTGCCTACATGCGTTACCACCAGATAGATGTACACTGAGCAAGACAAACACATCTCTCAGTCGGCTCTGGGCTACTTTATAACTAAAGTTGAAGTCGAGCGCAAGTTGAGCCGGTTACCCCAAAAGGACATAAGTTTAAATAGCGCTTCAAACTCCTTCCCGGAACATGAAAATATTATATACAAGGAGCTTCTGCAAGAAAAGGACACACATGAGTATATCACCTACGTCGTCCAAACCTGATCTGTATCCATGTGTTCATCTTACATCTGACAGGCCAACAACCTATGAGCAGTTTGGATTAGGGTCTGGACCATAACTTCACACGGTAACTACAAAGGAAATGACAATACTATCTCCATATTATTACTCTGCCTATAACGCGACCACATGTCAGGGATGTGTTTGTGTGTGCTCTCCCTTCTCCCCTGTGTTCCTGGAGCTGGGCGGAGTGTCTGTTGTCCTGGTCCTGCCCCTGGCTCAGCCCTCCACACCTGCAGCTCATCATCAGCCTCACCTGTTAAAAGCCTGGTTCACCCTTCACCATGTGCCAGATTGTCAGTAAAACTTACAAGGTACTACTTCTTGGTCTATTGCTGTATCTCTAGAGATCCTCGTTAATTGTTTTTTCATCCCTTAGACCCAGGTTCGTTTTTTGGTCCAGACATAGTCATCCTCCGGTTTTTTTTCTCAGTCCTGCCCAGCCACCACTGCTACCTGCTTGCACCTATTTTTGTAATAAATCTTGTAACCATTGTCTGCACGTTTGATTCTCCAGTCATTACAACACATCAGTAATCACACTCCAACCACAGACATACAAGTCACAAAAGTTGCACAAAAACAGCTGTAACCAGAGAAAATGTGTTAAAACCATTGATAGTAGAACCTAAAGTGTGTTTGGAAAGATGCGTTTTGTGCAGAACGTTCCCTGAGCCCCACTCTGCAGGCATCACGTGTTTGCCCGGACGTGCAGCACCGAGATCAAACATGTCTCGGGGGGAGTAGGCACTAATTCACGGAGGTTATTGAGATGTCGTGCAGTTTGTTACTTTGAACATTGTTGTCGAATACTGATTTCCTGCTCCAGCCTCAGAGCACTCAAAGACGTTTTTTTTTTTAGCGCACACTCCACGTCTCATCTCTTCAGAATTAGAAGGCTATGTATGCGCTCTGAGTAGTTCTGAAATATTGATTTTTTTTTTTTTTTTAAAGCTGACCATTTATACAAGGAATGGGAAATACCACAAGGTACAAAATTCTACAAAATATTGACATAATAATAATAACAATAATGCATTTGTTTTATACAGAGATTTTCAGGACACTCAAAGAATCTTTCATTTTTCTTCCACTCCAAACACGGTGGTGATAAAGTACTTATAGTAGCCACAGCTGCCCTGGGGCGAGGCGAAGCAATCCGTCTGTGCCATCGGCCCCTCCCACCACCACCAACCATTCACACACTTCAGACTCATTCTAATGTGGGGGAAGTGTCTTGCCTAAGAACACAGCCACAGTTTGGCACTTTACAGCCGCAGCCGCCCCACTGTGGCACCTGCTGTTCCCACAGGTCTCCCATCACAGCACTAACCAGACCCAGCCCTGCACAGCTTCAAAGGTCTGACAGGCTATGATTGAAACTATAGTTATTGCAGAACTAGTTTTAAATCCCACCTTGGGCCTTAGATTCTTACTTTTAGATGGTCCGCGGACGGTTGTGTGGATTCGGGATCTTGGACAACGGCTCAACCAATGTAGAGAATACATATCAACCAGATCAAGTTAAATTAAATTAGAATAATAATTAGGGTGTGGCAGTTTAAAAGTATGTGGTGACATTGTTAACATTCTGCTCCAAATATTTACTTATAATTATTGGGGCGACAGTGGCTCAGTTGGTAGATGATCTTCTCCGCCGACTCCCTCTGCTGTCTGCTGTTATTGTGTCCTCGGGCAAGACACTTAACCCACTGTGTCTATAAGGAGCGCGGAAGTAGTTAAATGCACTCAAAAAAATAATCTTAGGATATACTCAACTGTGTTGCGTCAAGTGTGATGCATGCAACCACCTTAAGTAATATTTAAAAAAGTGGATTGAGTTCAGAATACATAAACTTATTAAATAGGTCCTACATAAGTGTATTACATAAAAACAACCTATTCCTTTCAGTTATTAACTGTATAATGCAGTTAGATGAAAAATGCTTAACTTAGTTAAGTAATTTCTATTAAACATCATGGCTTATTATTAACACAACATAATTATGTAGTTTTTAAGCGATAGCTTTAACTAATTGTAATGCAAGATGTTTAGATGGAATTTGAATGTATTACATTAAGATAATGAAAATAACTTTCCTCATTTTACATGATAAAGTTTCATGCATCACACTTGACAAAACACACTTACATTTTCCCTACGTAATCAAAATAGGTAACTCCAAATCAAACAGACAAGTAATACAACATGATGCATTTATTGAGCAATTTGTGCAAAACCAAACAAAATGTGCTGAGCTGTTCACATCATAATACAAAAGTGCTTTTATTAAACTTTACATGCAGTGCATAGTTAACATTAGCTATGCAATGAAAATCTATTGACATTTTTTCAACTTTAATTTACAACAGACACGCCTGTATGAATTATCAATATCCCAAGTCTATTTTTAAACAACATGGTAATGAACAGTCAGTCATACCTACGTATATTTTGTAACTATACAATGTATTTTTAGCTATTGGACATGCCTTTCTCAGTAACTCATTTGAACATTGAGAATGTTTAGTATGATACAAATGTGAATATAACAATACTTAGTTTTTACTTTTGGTTTCCAATGAAAATGATAAGCCACTGGCAATTACTCTTTAAGTGAAAACGTTAATTTCAATGTTACAGTAAACTCTGGTCTCCCCCTCTCTCACTTTGTCTAAAAAAAAAAAAAAGTTATTTTTTGTGGTATGAAAGTTATGTCCCACAGCTTTGATAGGAGCATGTGATTCTTTGATCTCGTCTTAATGGTTTATAAATTAAATTAAAACTGGTTGCCAGTGGTTTGCAAAATGCATTAAAAAAGTAAATTGAAGTGTTCATAAATCATTTACCATTTTCAGAATGTAATCTTAAGTGAAAGAACAAAGTAAATATTTTGCTAAAGGTGAAATGGTCAACGGCCTGGAAATTAGCATCTACTCAAGAAGCTTATTTTTCAGTTCTTGCACTTTGTTTGACAGATATTTGGTGTCAAGTTCCATCAAAACCTTCTGAATAAATTCAAAGGTGTACTTCAGATGAGCTGGGTAGTTTAGATTGAGTACATAGATCAACCCGAAAAGCAAAGAAAATGCTGTGGCTACGTCTTTAATGTCTTTGAGCACAGTCACACCTTCAATGATGATTCCTACTTCGTCAGGTGAGTCTGTGGTGTCATCATAGCCTTTTGGTATTACGACATAGATCCCAATCACAGTCTTCTCCATTTGGTTCAGGGCCTCACAGAACTCCACATTCTGAAAACAAGAATATAAAAGCTGCATTGGTATTTTTATACAATGCTCTGTCAGGGCAGGTGGGTCTCCTTTTCGTCACTGTAGCTCAAGGATTTTAATGCAAGATGTGCCTCAAATCGCTCAGTGTAATTAAAGCTGCACTAACTGACTTTGGAATTTTGAAGCCGCGGACTCGCTGGCCTCTCTCTTTCTGCTCCCCTCCCCGCACCCACGAAGCTATGGCCCCCCCCCACACACACACTGTTGTTAGCGGTGCTAGCGTCTGGCAATATGGTTAAACCATGGATATGGCTTTTCATGTGGATGGCGTGACCATAGAACGATAGAACCGGGAAGCGCGGAGGAAGGGGGCTTTCTTTTGGATGGCTGTCTCGCTGTGTAAGCAGTAACCGGTGAAGTTTCAGGTTAGCTCCTCTGCTTGTTGTGCTAACTCAGCCGTCTATGCTAACAGGGACCTGTGGATTTCTCACGAAAGTGGGGGCCAGTGGTCCTCTGTGATTGGTCACAATCCGCGACCCGAAAGTTTGCCAAAACACATTCTCTTCCTTGTTTCATCAAAACTCGATCTAAAATATAAAGTCACTCCAGCACAAACCTGCGCTACTTTTTCTTCAAAAGGACGTATATCCCAATGCACTACATGGACATGGATAGCATTTAACTAATGAATACGAAAATAAAGTCAGTTAATGCAGCTTTAACTCCTGTGCTGCTAATGAAAGGTGAAAAGGTAGTGAGGGGCAAACACAGACACTCCGGAGCTTGTGTCATTCTTCCTAAAGCAGACTGCTTCGAAACACTGGAGTGTGACAAACGTATTAGCGTCTGACTGCAGCCACTGCTTCGCTTTGTATCAACTGTCAGTGTTTCAAAGCATTTCAGTGGCTCTAAGAGTTTCCCGGCTTCACATTGGTACAGAGAGTTTTAACACATTAACAACAATATAGCCATGTTCTGGTACAGTAGGATGGCTGGCTTGTCAAAGTTCGAAAAGATGTGAACGTACTAACCACATATTCTTTGATGATGTTGTTTGGGTCTTCATTGAGGTAAACTGCCAGGGCTTTCAGGGTACAGCTTCTTGCATCAATGTAGTCCCTAAAAACACAAAAATTGAATTATTCATGCTCTGCTACAACAGATTAATATTGGGTCTTTGAATACATTTAGCGTAATGTCGAGTTAACAGAGTGCTTCTCAAATAGTGGGGCGTGGTGCGATAGTCAACATTTGACTTTTTGGGCTGGAAGCTGATTTTATGAGCCAATTGAAATAAGGGGGGTGGGGTCGAAATGGTTTCTTCTACCTCAAGGGGAGCTGGCGGAAAAAAATTGAGAAGCACAGTCTTATCACTAAACATTATTTTGTACATCGATTGATGCAGGCCTAAATAGTACTTTATACCAGTACACAGAAAGCATGAATATGAACTCTGCATTACTTCTGGAGCCGTCTTGCAAATAGTCAAACTTAAAACTCATTGCCTGCCAGCTTATTTCAGAAGAGGTACTCCCATATTGCCAGCAGTTTGATGATTTTTATAGATTTTTCAAGACCCACAGAATATTGTGTACTATGACTATCTGAAATCCAATTCTGAAAGAATGGACCGTCTACTTTCATCAGCAAAAAGAATTTTGTTTCTAGAATCACAAAAATATGCTTTTGTCACTATTTATTATGATCATGGCACAATATACACTAAGCATTCCACAATTTTCTCACCAAGAATGTACAGGTGAATAGCATTCACTAATACTCAAACAAAAGTGGGCAAAGTTGAATCATTTTATAAATTCTTGATCACATTTATTGGACAGAAAAAAGCCCATAGTGTCAATAAGTGACTTACAGGACTCAATAACGCAAAACGCTTGAAAAGTTTTCCGATAAAAAAGCATGTTGTTTCCTGATTTTTACATTACACAAGGTCTGTTGGTCAAAACAATGTATAATTGTTGTGTAACCGGGCAGCTTTAAGAGCATGTTCAAGCACTACACGCTGCACTGCCTGCGGAAGGCAAGGACCGTCCTGATGATGCATCTGAATATTTTTTTTGTATCGGTCGAATACAATATACACGTCTGCACCGACCAACGCTCCAGTGTGCCACCGTACGGGTGCCCCCAGACCGCACAATTTACTCCCCAGCGTTCCTAACGTATCTTAGAATGCTATTGAGAATGAGGATTCACGTATAATTTGGGCGGTCTAATCCGGTCGGCCATGTTGATCAGGAACCTCTAGCTGCCAGGGCAACGCCACTAACGCTAACCCTGCTCCAGAGGTCTTTAACTTGAGCGCGTTTATTATTCGGCAGTAATACAATCAACGATTACAACACTATCAAGTCAGTTTATGAGAGAAAGTGAAGGCGAAAGGAAAATGGACCGTACAGGGAATAGCTTCTAAACCCACCGGCAAAATCCACGTTATTTGGATGAAGCTCTCAACATGACAACAGGTAGACCCATACAGCTTCCTGCAGCGGAGTGGCAAAAAGACCTTGACTTTTTGCCCCGTGCACTAACATGCACGATATGGACAAAAAGTCATATCTCGATATTTTTGGGCTGAATGGCAATATACGATATATATCTCGATATTTTTCTTCCAGTGAATTGAAACCAATGAGCCATGTTCTTGGTCAAAACCACAGGTGACAAATGTCTCAAAGGCACTTTTATTAATGTTCAACTGCAGAACATGTGCATAAATTGCTTTCATTAAACAAAAAACATGTATTATTATTTTAAATCAAAATAAATTAGAAATAAATATTCCTTTACTGTGTAACAGTATAGTGCAAAATGTGAACAGAAAAGATACTGACAAAAATAACAAGTCAGCCTGCTTTAGGAAAGCTTCAATCTATGAAGGGAGACTGAGGGATGCTTCCTTCTCCTAAATGCAATTCAAGTACTTTGTGCAAATGTAAACAATCAAACAATATAACTCAATGTAAACACGTTCTTGGAACAATTATTTAGCAACCCTTAAACTTAAAACATGAAAAGCAAGAGGTATTGGCCTGTAGTGTACATCTTACAGATTTTGTGCCAGAAAAATGAGCCTGTCTACACTTTCAGGCTTCAGGGATGCCCTGTGGCAGGTTACAATGTTACCACTGCAACTAAAAACCCTTTCTGAAGGGGAGCTGGTGGCTGACACACAAAGGTACTTGTTGGCCAGGCGGCTCAGTGCTGGAAAAGCAACCTCATGGTCCTTCCACCATTTGAGTGGGTCAGCATCACTCTCTATGCAGATTGACTGCAGATAGGTTGACAGTTCATGTTCTATTGTCTCTCTCGGTGTGAGTTTGGTGCCGGTGGCACTACCAGTGCCAGGACTCTCTTTAAAGAAGCTTGCGAGTGATTTCTTTCTTTTTGGATTAGGTGGCACTGCCACAGCTGCTCCTTCTTGTTCTGTTGGGTCATTCAGCTCGCGCACACATTCATGCAGCAAAGACTGAGTCTCCAAAATAACTCTGCGTTCCATGTGGTCATGGTCACATGAGATGTATTTGGCCCTGAATCTTGGATCTAGAAGAGAGGCTATATCCAACAGGTCACTGGTAGTTGGGTCTGCATATTTGTTATTGAGGTAATCCACAACTTTGGTCTTGATGGACTTGCACAGCTCACTATCCCCTTCTTCAGATGCCATGAGACAATTGTTGAACAGGTGAAGTACAGGTCTGACATACGACAGGGTCACGTAGGCCTCTCCTGAGAGAGCATCTGTAAAGTCCTGAAGAGGTTTTAGAGCTTTCTGAATGGCCTCCAGGACCTCTATGTCCTGCCAGGTAAGATCTAGAGGTCTAGTTTTCTTGTCAGCGGACAGGACTTTAGCCAGTGCTCTTTCTTGCTCCAGGACCCTCTCTATCATTACCAACCTCGATCCCCAGCGTGTGGCAGACTCTGTGATCAATTGGTGAGCTGGCAGACCAAGTTGCAGTTGTACTTCAGCCAGTTCTCTTCTTTTTTTCCAGCTGTATGAAAAGCTGCTCACGATCCTCTTGCACAGACCAATAGCACGGGTGATACGGGCATCATTCATGGCATGTCCTGTATGACAAATTGAATAACACATTCTAAAATCACTTTAATTTATTTGAGACACAGAGCTCCCTCAAATACAAATTGAGAGCTATTTACATTAAATAGGAGTGTAATGTTTATATGTTCATGACATTGTGTAAACTACAAACGTGTGTTAAACTAAACTAAATTAGTAAAACAAGTTCAAGTGTTGAATTTGTGCAATCTAAAACAGGATCTGAAATTTAGACCAGGCATTCAGATACATCTTCACCATTTAACCTGGATTTATTTTCACCACCATACTTAAAATGTATTAGACTGAATTTAGATTAATTTTAACCTGATTCAAAAAAAGTAAAAAAAAAAGTCAGAACACAGGCGTTGTTGCATGAATTTGCCAGTTTTGGGATCACCCTACATGAATGAATAATTCAGTATTGCACTTACCAATGGCCAGATGAAGTCTGTGACCAAAGCACTGCATCCTTAACCACTTGTTGAGTTGCACCGCTTTAACAACATTTGCACCGTTGTCAGTAGTTACGGCCACCAGTTTTTCCGGGTTGAGCTTCCAGCTAGAGAGGACGTCTTGCAGAGCCTCTGCTATATGCTCCCCGGTATGGTCCTGAGGAAAGTAGCTCGTCTGGAGACATGCTGATTTCATATTCCAGTCCTCCACAAAATGTATCGTTACACACATGTATGGTTTACAGGTCCGGCTGGACCACATGTCCGATGTTAGTGCAAAATGTGACACTTTGGCGAGTCGGGCGTCCATGCCGGCTCGTACTTCTTTATACATGTTTGGTAACACTTCGTTTGCAAAATAATTTCGTCCAGGTACCTGGTATCTGGGTTCCACAATTTTAAACATCTGAATAAAGCCAGTCTGTTCCACTGTACTAATCGGAGCCATATCCTTAGCGATGTGGAAAGCTATTGCATTCGTGATGTCACGCCACTTCTTACTTGTTTTATCAAAAGTGGCAGTGCGAACGAGTGTGTTCTCCAGCGTGACTTGTTTTGCTTTCGGGTTAGAAGAATGATCTGAGTTTATCTTTGGCCTTGCAGCGCGCAGTCGAAGGCACTCTTCATATTCAACTTTATGTCGCTGTTGTAAGTGATGAAACAGATTCGTCGTGCTCGAACCTTTTGCCGGAATGGATTTTCGGCATTGTCTGCAGAATACATGTTTCTGCTCCACATCTGCAACCTGGAATCCAAACCACCGCCATATGAGTGATCCATTGTTCCTTTTTTTGGAAACCAGCTCCTCTTCCACAACTTCTATCGAGTCAGAGGCAGATTCCATTTTTGTTTATGTTGTGCTGCTGTGCTGAGCGCGCGGGAAGGGGAGGGCTAATTTCCGGTAGGGATGAACGCGACCGTCTTCTTCTACGTTTTTCATCTGTTTGCGGCCGCGGAAATTGACACACGTATATCGTTATTATCGATATTGCCTTATTATCTATAGTGCGGCACAAAAATCTCGATATAACGATAATATTGATATATCGTGCAGCCCTACTGAGGATCACAAGGAGCTTTGTGACACTCAGTGTGTTTTGAATTATTCTGCAAAAAAATACAAGAACAGCACATGTAACGGGTCAATTTGTTATGGGAAAAAACAGGAACAATTCAATATAGGGCTGCAGACATTGATTATTGAAGTAATCTTTTCCCACTGAACATGTTTCACAACCTCAGGTTCAAAGTTAAGGAGTTTTTGTGTGTTAAAATTAATTTTATTTCAAAAGGAGTATGATGTGTTCAATACTGCAATTCTAAAAAACAAATTGGAAAAAAGTTACCTTTACAGTGAATGAATCTTTTCAGTGTGACCATTCGCCAGGGCCCAACTTTGTAGTCACACAGGGGATAGGGGTCCAGCAGTTTACTTATTTCCAATAGGCTGATATCTGGAACTATAGATCTATGGGAGGGAAAAGGAGGGGAAATTAGATAATTATGAATCACAAAAATATGCTTTTTCACTATATGATCATGCACAATATACACTAAGCATTCACAATTGTCTCACCAAGAATTGTACAGGTGAATACATTCACTAATGCGGCACGGTGGCTGAGTGGATAGCACTCTCGCCTCTCAGCAAGAAGGTCCTGGGTTCGAATCCCGGTCGGACCAGGGCCTTTCTGAGTGGAGTTTGCATGTTCTCCCTGTGTCTGCGTAGGTTTCCTCCGGGTACTCCGGTTTCCCCTACCACTAAAAATATGTCCAATAGTTCAGGCATGTGCCTCCTGTACTGGCCCCGCTCCCATCTCTGTGTGGAGTGAGAGACAAATGCCCATAATTAACAATCGTAAACCGCTTTGAGACTCAGATCTGCAGTGAAAAGGCGGTATATAAATAAAAACTTACTTACTTACTTACTAATACTCAAACAAAAGTGGCCAAGTGCAATCATTTATAATTCTGTGTCATGTCGCTGCACCACAACGTGACCGGAGACTTGCCTCACATGAATACGTGACTACATAAGCGCGAAACCAGAACACATTATAAAACGTTCGCAAACATTGCATCAGTGTCTAGGACGTACAAATATTGTATTTTAGCTAGATATTTAGCTTCAAACAATGACGTGGATCAGCTTTAACAAGCAGCTAGCTCGTTGCCAAACGATGTGAAAAATGGATAAGATACATTTAAATATATAGACATGTGTGTCATTACATCTCTAATTATTGCGTAGAGGCAAAAATGACAAGAAGATTACCTGGTTTGGGCGGATGCAGACTCGTCCCCCGAGTAGTTTTTCCGAGACCACGTTGTGAAACAAAGTTAGCGCATGCGCAGTAAGTCAGACAGGAAGTAGGATACGGAATCTCAGAAGGGCCAAACATCAACCATGTACTCAACTGTGTTGCATTAAACCTTAGCAATGGCTTTGAGTAATTCAAATCATCAACTATATTTCATTGTTTTTATGCAGATATTTCATTCATGAGGCAAAACTTACACTTTTAAGTATATTTTACACATTATTCCTTAATCACTTTTACAGCGACCACAGTTCATTTCTTTGAGTGTGTATATGTGTCGTGGGTTACTTTAAAAAAAATACAGGCGAGCTCGGATTGCAGTGATTATTTGTGCTTTTATTTTCCCCAAAGTGCGTAAAAATTGGTACAGGCAGTGCAGAGCATATGTACAGTGAATTTAGCAGAAAAAAACAACAGGTCCACTCGGACACATAGGTCACCTTTAATGGCTCCAGGTAGTTACCTCCTCTGTAACCAGCGGCAGACTGACGGGTGCCAGACACGGCTCTCCTTTATAGTCCCCTTTGCTCCTCCCATTGAGCAAAATAAATTATTACAAATAGGACGTATAAACAGGGAATACATATATGGACCCATTCCCTATTGGTCCAACACAAAAACCTATACTCTACAATGAAACATTAGGCCATTATAAGTATATTTAATCTTGGGGACAATTCCCCACGCTCCCAGGGCACATTTAACCCGCCAGGAAGTATGGTCCTGGTTTGATCCTCGCGCACAGATGCAGAGGAGCACGACAGACCGGTACGTGTATGAATGTATGCTTAAATGTATTTCTAGCCCGCACAGTGTGCACCCCTGGGCGAACTAGTAACTGAGGGAAGAGAGGGACAAGAGTATGGATGATGCGTGTGGCTGTTAAGCATTAATGGAACGGAGGGAAAAAGGGGTGCGCGCGTTTGGAATGGCGTGTGTGTGTGCGTGCAGGTGCGCGTGTGGCGCATGCGGCACTAAAGTCAGCCTTTACTTTAAAACTACGTAACTACAGACGGACCCGCTCCGTCACATCATCCCTCCCCTCCGGAAGGTCGACACTGTGGGGCAACCTGGACAAGTAGTCCGCAACAATGTTCAGCTTACCGGCACGGTGTCGAATGGAGAACCGGAAGGGCTGTAGACCAAGGTACCACCTGGTCAAACGGCTGTTGTGATCCTTCATGGTTTGGATGTATGTTAAGGCACGGTGGTCGGTTTCTAGATCGAACTCTCGCCCCAGCAAATAGTAGCGTAAACTCTCCAACGCCCATTTGATGGCCAGACCCTCTTTTTCGATTGCAGAGTAGCGTGTCTCTCGTGGCTGGAGTTTCCGACTCAAGTAGAGTATTGGCCTCTCTTCTCCCGGCTCCCCTTGAGCCAGAACTGCTCCAAGGCCCACAGCGGAGGCATCCACTTGGACGAGAAAGCGCATGTTAAAGTCTGGACTTTTCAGCACAGGAGACGAACACAGGTGAGCTTTAAGGGTGGCAAAAGCCTTCTCACAGTCCTCGGTCCAGACTACTGGATTTCGCTGGTTCTTGGCCGTGAGTGCGGTGAGGGGAGCAGCGATGGTTGCGAATTGTGGCACAAACCTCCTGTACCATCCTGCCAACCCAAGGAAGGACCGGACTTCCTTCTTGGTGCGTGGCCTAGGAGACTGCAGGACCGCTTTGACCTTGTCCACTTGGGGCCGTACTTCTCCTCGACCCATCTGGTAGCCAAGATACCGAGTCTCCTGCCGAGCCCACTCACATTTAGCTGGATTTAGTGTCAGCCCAGCTTGCTCAATCTTCTTCAGGACGAGGGAAAGGTGCTGAACATGGTCACTCCAGGTCTCACTGAAGATAACCACATCATCGAGGTAGGCCGCGCTGCAATGCCCACACCCTTGAAGAACCCGGTCCATCAGACGTTGGAACGTGGCTGGGGCTCCATGCAGTCCAAACGGCATCACCGTAAACTGAAACAGTCCAGCAGGGGTTTGGAATGCGGTGCAGGGCCGTGATGACTTCTCGAGGGGCACCTGCCAATATCCTTTGCATAGATCCAAAGTGGTGATGTACTTAGCTGCCCCAATCTTCTCCAGCAAGTCATCAATTCTTGGCATTGGATATGCGTCAAATTCTGAAACAGAGTTCAGTTTCCGAAAATCAATACATATCCGGAGCGATCCATCCTTTTTAAAAACAATGACCACAGGGCTACTCCACTCTGAGTTGGAGGGTTCGATCACTCCAAGTTTCAGCATCTCCTGGATCTCATCCTGGAGCTTTCCGATGAGCTGCTGAGGCACACGGTAGGGCCGCTGTCGGATGGGTCTCCCGTCTTTCAGCCGAACGAGGTGCTCCACAATGGTGGTCTTGCCGGGAGTGGCACTGAAGAGGGACGAGACTTCCTTGAAGGTCTGGAACAGCTGGGCAGCTTGCTCAGGAGAGAGATGAGCCAGGATCGGGGTTGCAGCTTTTGTTAATCCCTCTAGTCCGACATCCGGAACATCATCTTCCTCGTCCGCTTCCTCCAGCTGTCTGACAAACAGAACCTTTGCCGTTGCTTTCTCAGGCCGTTCCCTCCACTCCTTTAGGAGGTTAACGTGGTAGGTCTGTTTGGGCCTTTTCTTTTCGGGGTGTAGGACTTCGTATGTGACTGGACCCATCTTGCGCAGCACAGCATACGGCCCCTGCCATTTTGTGAGCAGCTTATTGGTGGATGAGGGTAGAAGGAGTAATACCTTTTGACCTGGCTGGAACTCCCGACGGCGCGCTTGGCGGTCATACCAGGCTTTCTGGGACTTTTGAGCGTCTCGCAGGTTTTCCTCCGCTTCCTCCAAATACTTTGACAGTCTCTCTCGCATCTCTAAGACGAACTGCACGATGCTGCGGTCATTTTGTTTGGCTGAGGGACCCTCCCATTGTTTGCGGAGAAGGTCCAATGGCCCCTGAACATCCCAGCCATACAGCAGTTCGAATGGGGAAAATCCAGTTGACGCTTGTGGGACTTCCCGATAAGCAAACAAAACAAACGGAAGCCACCGATCCCAGTCTCTACCGGTGTCATCCACAAACTTTTGTAGCATGCGTTTGAGTGTCTGATTAAACCTCTCCACTAGTCCATCTGTTTGTGGGTGGTATGGGGTGGTACGAATAGGTTTGATCCCCAATTGCTGCTGGAAAAGGTGCATCAACCGGGACGTGAAGTTGGTGCCTTGATCCGTAAGAATCTCATCCGGTAATCCAACTCTTGAGAATAGCTGGACGAGAGCTCGAAGAACAGCCGGGGCAGTGATGGTTCTGAGCGGGAAGGCCTCAGGAAACCTGGTCGCATAGTCCGATATGACTAGGATGTACTGGTGGCCGCTGCTGCTCTTCACCAGTGGCCCCACAATGTCCATTGCGATCCTCCGGAAAGGAGTAGACACTACCGGTAGAGGCTGTAAACAAGCACGGTCAGATTTGCGCACAGAACATGTTTTCTGACAACTAGGACAGGTCGCGCAGTACGTTTGGATGTCTGCATACATTGAAGGCCAGAAAAAACGTGAGCTAATGCGCAAAAATGTCTTGTGGCGCCCCAAATGACCCGCCCATGGAACAGTGTGTGCTACGCGCATGACAAGAGTTCTGCAGCTAAGGGGAACAACCAGACGTTTACATTCATTACCCTCACTGTATAGCAACCCATTGTCAATGACAAACCTCTCCCGTCCCAGACAACTCTTTGTATCCTTGCCCACCTTAGCAAACAAACATTTCAATGTTTCATCTTTACGCTGTAACTCACCAACATTGTCAGGCACATTCCAACACAAAGGTAAAACATCTTCAGGACTAGCAGACCACATTTGTTTCTCAAACCGCCTCTGACGGCGGGACTTCTTGGGCCCCTTGGTGCCCCCCTCACACAGACTACTGTCCAAGTCCGGCAGAGGCTGGACACCCGTTTTTGCCTGAGCTCGGGTTAAAACAGGACATGCCATAGACATAGAACAGTTACTATTCCCCCCAGAGTCACTTTCCTCAGACACTTTTTCGTTCAACAGGTCCATGAGAACTGGTAAATCCCAACCGAGAATAGCATCCACTGGTAAGTTTTCAACCACACCCACACTCACAAGATAGGGCTGGTCTAAGGCAGTCACAGTCACATCCACAGTAGGATAGGGATGGCTATCCCCATGCACGCACTGAATATCCACAGTCTGGCTGTAATCCGTGCCGCTAACTGGAACTGAGCTACGTTTGATCAACGACATAAAGCTGCCAGTATCAAGCAATGCTGTAATCGCTTTGCCATTGATCAGTACAGTTTTATAACGTTGCACAGTACCTTCAGCTTCCATAGAGCTCACGGACTCTGGTCTTGGTGGATAACATGCCCCACTAAATTTTGCTTTGCGCACAGGGCACACGGATGCTTTGTGTCCTGGCTGCTGACAGTAAAAACAAACAAGATCCTTACCAGGTCCTCGTTGGTTTGGGGTAGAGCTGGTGGTACCTTGCCGATCTGGGTAGCTGTCCTGCCGGGGTGGTCTGGAGAGAAGCGGCTGAGCTGGCCCACGCTGAGCTGTAGTGCCGGTCCGGGCAGGTCCTCCTTTGCGCGCGTTGAGGTACTGCACGGCCAACTTTGCAGCGGTGAGTCCATCGCCGGGCTCGCGCTCCTTCACCCAGGTCCGCACCTCGAAGGGGAAAACTCGCAGCAGCTGCTCCATGATGATTGCCTCGCCGACCTCCTCCTTGGTCCGCTCCTCGGGCCGTATCCAGCGACGATAGAGACCTCTGAGACGATGATAGGTCTCCGTGGGGCTCTCTCCAGATGGTAGAGTAGAGGAGCAAAACTGCTGGCGGTAGGTCTCGGGTGAAATATCAAATTTTGCCAACAGGGCCTCCTTTAAGTCCCGGTAGCAGTGGGCTCTCTCCTCGTCCATGGCAGAGTACGCCTCCAGCGCCTTGCCGCTTAACAGAGGAACGAGTCGACACGCCCATTCATCTTCTGGCCATTTCCAGGTTTTTGCTATCCGTTCAAAACGCAACAGATAGTTCTCCATGTCCTCACCACTCTGGTATTGTGGTATCTTTGGCTCATTATAATGCCTCCAGTCACGTCTGGGTCGGTTTTCAGGGTTTAGAGCTTGGTGCCTTTGCTCCTCACCCTCATCACTCTCATCACCTCCCTGATGAATCCCTGCGTACTGCATTCGCTGGCCAGCAGGGGTCGGTAATCCAATCATTGGGCTCCTGTCGGACAGTGACAATGATGCCTGAGACTGGGCACGTGAAATGGGAAAGTGTGGAACCGGAACTATTGATCGAACCAGATTTCTCCACTGAGATCAATAAAGTATATCTTCTTCTTAATGACACACATTTAATGGACTTTACATTGTTTTATTTAATCTTTTATACAATCTTAAATGTGCTGAGTGTTTTTGGGGCAGATGGTGTTGGACTGAAAGCTCCGACAGATTGACACAAATGGACGGAGACAGCTGCAGGGAAGCCTCTCAGTCTGATTTCACCGGAGACCCTCAGACTGACAGCCCACTGCGTTAACCACCGCCGTAAACGGGAACATGTGCTGTGCTCTTTTGAACGTTTAGCCTTTGACACGGGCAGGCTCGTGATAGGACGGCGATGATGTCATTGTCCCAACACGCCATAGACCAGACTGTAAATATAATGAAAAAATAATCATAATGTGTCACAACTTTTGCCTTCTGTGGGTTTGTCAAAATGGCCGCCGGGCTGGAAAATGTGAAAAAACACATTTGTGCATGTGTTAGACGCACTAGCCCCATTCATTTAACGAGTGCATTCAAAAGTCCACAGCGGCTAAACTAGACTGGTCCAAAAACACATATACTCCCCTAAACATCGACAGCATCTGGAAAGTAGCTTTGGACCAAGAACCTCTTTTGGACCAAGAGCCACTTTTGGACCAAGAACCACTTTTGGACCAAGAGCCACTTTTGGACCAAGAACCACTTTTGGACCAAGAGCCACTTTTGGACCAAGAGCCACTTTTGGACCAAGAGCCACTTTTGGACCAAGAACCACTTTTGGACCAAGAACCACTTTTGAACCAAGAACCACTTTTGGACCAAGAACCACTTTTGGACCAAGAGCCACTTTTGGACCAGAGCCACTTTTAGACCAAGAGCCACTTTTGGACCAAGAACCTCTTTTGGACCAAGAACCTCTTTTGGACCAAGAACCACTTTTGGACCAAGAGCCACTTTTGGACCAAGAGCCACTTTTGGACCAAGAGCCACTTTTGGACCAAGAGCCACTTTTGGACCAAGAGCCACTTTTGGACCAAGAGCCACTTTTGGACCAAGAACCACTTTTGGACCAAGAACCTCTTTTGGACCAAGAACCACTTTTGGACCAAGACCCACTTTTGGACCAAGAACCACCTCTGGACCATCCTGTAAAGACATTTTTGAAAGGTAAAAAGACGGTATTCAAAAGTATTGGTATGGAATTTACTTTCTTTAAACCGGGACAGTGTACAATTAAACATTAACACAAAGGAGAGAATTGGTAATTCTGTTTCCGGGTACACCCCCACCAGCAAAGAGTGAGACTGCCGCATGTCAGTGCAAATGCTCAGTGACCTTTTGGAGATGGGACCAAGAAAGTTCACAAGAAATATTAAAAACATAGAGGATAAAATCACACCGCTAATTAAAAACTTTAAAACGCTAATAACATAAATAACCACAGTCCTTTAAAAAGAGTAAAGATAAAAATCATAAAAATATAGAACCAATAAATAAAACTGTTTCAACCCGGATTAGAAAACTACCAGAGAAGAAGCCTGTCTCACATTTTCAGGAAGATTGTTTCAGGTTTTAGCTGCATAAATCTGTAATGCAGACTCCCAATGTTTAGGTCTGACTCTGGGACCAGCAGGAGGCCAGTCCCTGTGCTCCTCAGAGTCCCAGCAGGAGGCCAGTCCCTGTGCTCCTCAGACTCCCAGCAGGAGAGTCCCAGCAGGAGTCCAGTCCCTGTGCTCCTCAGAGTCCCAGCAGGAGACCAGTCCCTGTGCTCCTTAGGGTCCCAGCAGGAGAGTCCCAGCAGGAGTCCAGTCCCTGTGCTCCTCAGAGTCCTAGTCCCTGTGCTCCTCAGAGTCCTACACGGTTCTTTTCCAACAAAGCACATTTCATTGTTGTTTCGTTTCCATTTCTTGTGTTGTGTCTGTTCAGTCGTCTCTAAATGGGAGTGAGCAGCGGGTCTACACCGTGCTCCTGCCTAAACCCACGTATGCTCCGGTGAGTCTGATGCAACATTTGTAAAACCTTTTCTCAGACTTCTTCAAAAAGTCAGCTCTGTAATTTTCCTCCAACGCACAATTCAGAGGAGTGAGGTTCTGAGGCGCTCTGCTCTGATGACACATGAGGAAATCAGTCTCTCACTCATCACCGAGGGCTTCGCTGGGTTTCTAGGGAGGAATACATTTGATTCTAAAGTATTCAGTCTTGTTTTGCCTACAAAGTCTGAGCAGCCGAGCTTGTTTTTCACTGGGCCTAGTTTCTCTGGTCATATAAAGGGTCAGAGCACAGATCCATGCGGCAGGACTGAATATAGAAGTGCATGGACATAGCAATGTTCTTACCTGGTTTTATCCATGTGTAAACTCTGGTCCATGGTCATTTCTTACATGTACGTCTGGTCTTACCATGTGTAAACTCTGGTCCATGATCATTTCCTACATGTACGTCTGGTCTTACCATGTGTAAACTCTGGTCCATGATCATTTCCTACATGTACGTCTGGTCTTACCATGTGAAAACTCTGGTCCATGATCATTTCCTACATGTACGTCTGGTCTTACCATGTGTAAACTCTGGTCCATGATCATTTCCTACATGTACGTCTGGTCTTACCATGTGTAAACTCTGGTCCATGATCATTTCCTACATGTACGTCTGGTCTTACCATGTGTAAACTCTGGTCCATGATCATTTCCTACATGTACGTCTGGTCTTACCATGTGTAAACTCTGGTCCATGATCATTTCCTACATGTACGTCTGGTCTTACCATGTGTAAACTCTGGTCCATGATCATTTCCTACATGTACGTCTGGTCTTACCATGTGTAAACTCTGGTCCATGATCATTTCCTACATGTACGTCTGGTCTTACCATGTGTAAACTCTGGTCCATGATCATTTCCTACATGTACGTCTGGTCTTACCATGTGTAAACTCTGGTCCATGATCATTTCCTACATGTACGTCTGGTCTTACCATGTGTAAACTCTGGTCCATGGTCATTTCCTACATGTACGTCTGGGTCTGATCCTATTGGCTGCAGTTTCCTCGGTTGAATCCTCTCCGACCAATCAGAGAGCGGGGGAGGCGGGTGTTGTAGGTCGGTGTCTGTGATTTTGCTGGTTGTAGTTTGTCGGAGAATGCGATAGTAAAATAATCTGTTCTGGTTCAATCCAAATATCAAGAAACTGAAGCCGGAGCAAGAGGAATGTTTAGTAAATGTCATTGAAGCAAAAATGTTGTGGCTCTACTCCCCACGGGCTCAGTTAGTGGCAAAGGAGATGGCTAAAGCTAGGCTACATGCTAAAGCTAGGCTACATGCTAAAGCTAGGCTACACGCTAATGCTAGGCTAAATACCTGACCGTGTTTTGAGCATGTGGGAAAGAACCGTGTAGAGGTTTTCAGTATCGTCATGGAGAAACCAGCTGCCTGTTTGAACACTGGGATTGTTGCCTTACTTACAGCCCGTGTGGAGCTGCTTTTGTGAGACATGCTTTTAGTTTCCCCACAGCAGCTACAAGTCAATGCTAACACACTTCTTGTCCTGTTCTTTGCTCTACACGCTCACAAGTCTTCAGCCACAAAAACAAATGACCACCGCCAGCGAGCCATGTGCTGAAATCTATTGGAAATTAAACCCTGGGATCTCTCCGGCAGTGGTAATGTAGTAGGGTTGCCAACCGTCCCTTGAAATACGGAATTGTCCCGTATTATACAAAAACTATGTGCGTCCCGTATTGAACTGATACGGGACGGCTTTTGTCCCGTATTTTCAGAGCCACCTTAAATGCATCACTCACTCACTGCATGTCACACACACACAGTTTAAGCATCTACTGTACCTTTCGGCCAATCAGTGTCAAAGGAGGCGTAGGCTTGATCACAGACGTTGGTTTAATGTTGACAATCATCAGCGTGGGCCGTGCCCGCAGCACCATCACGTCAGAAGTTTGGTAAAGTAGCGTCATTTTCCTAGATTCGGACTTCCGCGGTCAATAGCTCACGAAAGCTACTTTGTTAAACAAAAGTAATTGTGCTAAAATGATCATCTCTATGTTGATTTTATAAATTCAATGCGCTGTTTTAATGCAGAGAAATCCTCTGAATCCAATGCACTGCAAGCGCCGAGAAAAGCACTTGGGGACCGTCAACAAATATCCAGACCAGCTGTAAACGAACAACAGCTTTTACTGAAGCCACAAACCTGCAGTATTGTACCTGCACAAAACTCTCAGACAATATAAATAATGATGACCATATCGAACTGCTACAGACTTTGATTTGTGAGTTTTTTTAATGAATACATATGTTTTTCTTTTTTCTTTTGCTTTTACAGAAATTGGTCTTTACTGTAACATTCATACATAATGTATGTTACAGTATTTGTCTTTTTTATATATTTTTGTATTACTAATAAGAATGCATTAAGTCTTTAACCAGCCAAAGAGTTCCACCTATTTATTCAATTTCATTTTTGACTAAGGATTTTTTTTATATATGTAGTCAATAAATTACAATCTAAAAACTGTGATTATGAAATTCCATGATTACTGTGTAGACTGAAATTAGGACTAAAAAGTGCTCAACCCGATCCACCCAAATGGTGTCCCTTATTTTTTTGTTCTCAAGTTGGCAACCCTATAATGTAGGCAAAATCAATAATCATGTTGCTCTTAATGTGAATGAAATCAGTATTCTGCTCCACGGAAGGTTCAAAACACCGCTATGAGAAAGGTTTCTGTCTTCAAAAATACATATATTGCTTTTGAAAACGCTGGGGTGTGACTGAGATAATGGGCGTGACTCAACAAACCCTGCTTTCCAGCTTTACCAAAGGTTTTTCTCAAACTTTTACAACCTTGACAAAACTTACAGGAAACAGCCGCCTGATGCAATAACCCAGAATGAATGGTCTATTAT